CACACACACACATACACACACACTCACACACAAACTTACGTGCATACCAGCATCGCCCTTCAATTTGATCACAAGCTCATCTGTATGAACTCCTTACAAACAAACTCACATACACACACACTCACACACACACACATATATATGTGTACATGTGCACATGTTAACATATAAACTTACATACAAACGTACGTACATACAAACACACACATACACAAACACACCATACACCAAATTCTAAAGAGTAGTGAATGAGTTTAGACAAAAGGCCTTGGGCCCATAACCTACATACACACACACACACACACACACACACACACACACACACACACACACACACACACACACACACACACACACACACGGGCCCATAACCTACATACATACACATACACACACATATACATACATACATACATGTAGTAGCTGTATGTATGCATGTATATACATACAGCTACTACCCTAATAATAAGATTGACAATTTGCAACGTGGGACCACCATAAAATGATCCTATATACCCGTATTTTCATCATCACCATCTTCATCATCACTTTAATCATTATGGAATCATCATCATCATCGTCGTCGTTGTCATCATTATCAGTATCATCATATCATCATCAACATCATCATTGTAATTGTCTTCATCATCATCATCATCATTATCATCACCTATTTAAATTCACATCAAATAAATAAATACACCAATGGTGCTTCTACCACACCGCAAAACATTCAAGACATTTTTTTGCATTTCCGTTTAAAAGTTCACTTAAATTTTGAAAGTAAAACAAACTATTTCTTTACTCATGGCTTGATAAAATGTGCACGAAACCTTGAATGCCCTCACCATGCGCGCGTGTGTTGTGTGTTGCCCGCCTTGGAGACGGGCCGGATAGAAATCAGGTCAAACAGTTCAAAATGTTTAAGTTTTGATAGTGGTCACTTAAGGGGTAGGTTAAGTACCTACTGCTCACAACGGGGAGGTACCGTACCGTGGGCCCCCCTAGATTTGTCACTAGTTCATTATGAGCTCGATCACAACTTTCCAATTATTAATTTTAATTTTGAAAAGCAAATAAAAATTTGTTTCCTTCCGTTTCGTTGGTGGATCAATCGGTGAGATGTGCCAGCGTGTGCGTGGCTACGTAGGTGCTTGTGAACGGCTGCATGGCAGTCCCTTTAATAAATTTTCAAATATAAGTTTTACTAATTTATAGAAAAATAACATCTCAAACGTTATCATTTCAA